AGTAAAAATGTTGAATATCACTTTGTTCAAAATAATGGTATGCGTATGAGTCAAAATGACAGAGAATATTTTCATTACAATCTAGTTTAGTCTCATGACGATCATTGAATCGCATCATCATTTTTGCATAAAAAATTCCCTCTGTAGTAGCAGTATAGGTATATAAATCTGGCTCCAGTGGAGTTGCGGCAGAACTGTCGTTACTTATACTACTCAATCTGTTGGTGTAATCTAAACACTGTCAGCTGCATCAACCTCATAATCAGCAAATAATTATAACAAAGTAGTCAGGTTTTCAATACTTCCCCAACAAAAAATCGTCTTCACTCAGATATCATGGCAATATATTCACCAAAAAATAAAACAAATAATGTTGGACTGATCATACATCCTTGTCTAGTTCCAACTGTACATGTACTCATTAAGCCCAATCTATGTGTTCACATGATCTAAACTTGGAATATGGTGTTCCCTCGTTATCGCGCCCTTCAATATAGCGTTAACTATGTTATAAATGCCGCTAAAAGTTACTTTTGAGGCAGTTTGACTATTAAATGTCAACATAACGTTTTTGCATTCGAAATACGTGTAACGCAGGAAGTCCTAACGGTGACGGGTCAAAATCGTTCCATATGTCAAAAAACATTCTGCATACAATTTGTACCAAAGTGCTACGCTTCTGGTTCTTATAATTTTAAGTATATATGGTGGAAGCTGCAACTTAAATAGCACGATTTTGGAATATATTATTCCTGTTAAAATATTAAGTTCAGATACAATTTCTTCCGACCATTGCATCAATTTTCTTTAAGGTGGTATCACTGGGTACGTTTTAACTGAATCACCGGTTGATTGGGAGGAAATGCGTGCACAGCCGATTGTTAATTTCCGGCTCAGTTTACGAGAAAATACACACGGTAATCTTAATCTCTGCAATTAAAACAATGCCCTTGAGTGCAGGAAATACATTTCAAATTGTAATTCATCATGTTTAGTGAAGTTTTATATCAAATTTCATACTTTTGTTGACCAAGTTTGTTATACCTGTTTATTCATCTGAAGGGATACGATGTGTGTGGTTTTTTGAAAGCGCATATTAATACTCAATAAATCTTTTTTTTTACACTATGAATCATAAATAACTTCTATTCTTATCTTTTTTGAACCTCTGAAACGTGCCACGTAGATCGTGTTAGGTAGGCAGAGCATGTATACTGTTTTCTTGGTAATCTACCACCTACGACTCGACCTTTGTTTAACAGCTGATCATCTATAACTCTCATCAATTATTTTGACCCCGAAGGTAGCGTTGTAGCAAGGGATCACTGTACATACATTTAAGCACATTAAATTTCTTGAAATTCCATTCTTTGTAAACACATAAAATACAAGAAAATGCTGTACAGAGTCAAATGCTTTGGCAAAATCAACAAGAGTCATCAGAAAGATGACATATCCCCCCGGCAGCTGTCTGTAAAGTAACCACAAGTAAATGTGCAATTCTGTATGTAATGAGTCAAGAGCTGAATGTTCTTGAAGAAGCATACATTGTTTACCCACAAAAGATCCACCATGGTCGCATCCATATGAAATGGAAGGTAAAACAAGTGTGTTTCTGTGGGGTATTTTTTATGCAAACAAATGACAAGAAACAATAACTAAGCAAGTGTATAGACAGCAAAGTCATCTATATCCCCCGCCCAATTTAACACGTTATGGTCCCAAACCAGGTAACTGACCCAACATTTCTCTTAGCCCATGTCAAAATAGCTGCAATGGAAATTCTAAAAATAAACAATTCTAAAACTCCTGAATATCAAATGGCACCAGTTCAGTATGTGCTTTATATATAGCATATAATGTTTGGCAAGGACATATTTAACAGTTTAGTGAACCCACCCTATATTAAAACTTAAATCCAACTTGTTGCCATGTAAACGTAAAAAAATAAAATGTCTAAAATTCCTAAATAGCAAAAGGCACCAATTCAGCATGAGTCTGATGGACATGCAAAGTTTTGTTAGAAAGTTTTTGAATTGGTTTTGAGTTATGCTCCGGAAACGAACTCTACCCTATAGAACCTAAGTCCAACTTGTTACCATGGAAACGTAAAAAATATTTTAAAAATTCAAATTCCTAAATAGCAAAAGGCACCAGTTCAGTGTGTGCCTGCTAGACATGCAAAGTTTTGTAAGAAAGTATTTAACGGTTTTTGAGTTAACTTCACCATTGAGTGATATAAATGCAAAGTTTGATAGATAACAGTTTCAGAGTTCTGCCCAGAAAACAAACATCACTCGCAAAGTTAGCCTATGTCCAGCATGCTTTCATGAAAATTGGAAAATAAAAAAATTGGAAAAATTCCAAAATAGCAAAAGGCACAACTTCACCACTTAGGCGACACTTTTTTTTATTTCTTGGTTTACGGATTTCAAACTCATTTCAAAAGTGAGGCAAGCCAATTAAAAAAAAGAAAAGAAAAAAAAGCCTCACATTTTTTTTACCTGAATTTTGTCCTAAAATGTTAGGTAGGTATGAAAAGAAATATCCTGGCGTAATAAAAGTAAAATAACTCAATTTTTCAAGAACATTTTTTTTATATCCCTGGCACTCAGCTTGTGCAAGGATGGCAACATAACAATATTCATGTCATGGGTAGAAATGCATGAAAGACGCTGCTATTTTGGCAGCATGGGCAACGTTTAACTCTTTCAACACCAGCCAACCAGAAGATTACTGCTGTGACACCAAATTCCCAGAGACTGTTGTGTGATAGTGGAAACCAACATGTATCAAGGAATTATCTGCTGAAATTAACATCTTTGCTACTACATGTTTGGCCATACACTATTTGAAAGGTCTAATTAATCCTATTGTTTATAAATATGAAAGTTATGTGTATTTCATTATTTAAATAATTCATGAACAACTAAATAAAGTTCGTTTTAAATAAATAATAATGTAAGCTAAAAACATTCATAACGTCCAAATTTAGCGCAAATCTAACGATTTTTTCGGCAAAAATAAGAATTAATAAAATCCACTTACCTATTTCTTTTTAATTTTCATTTATTTACGTTGTTGGAACATTATTTTAAAAAGAATTACAAATAATATCTGTCATCACCCATTTCCCGATGATAGTGGCTGTCCGCTCACTAACATGAGGAAATACCTCGGTTTTCAAAGCTTCGTATGAATAACACATACGTCCTGCCATGTCAGTATACATTAAAAAAACTTATATTGTTTCACCGACAAAATCTGCTACAAGGTTCGTGATTGGTCAAATTTAAGCACGTGACCTAAGGCAGCTAATCAAATTACAGCAACGATAATTTTCAGACTTTGGCGAAAGGTTTGGGTTAAATCATGTTATTCTGAACATTTTAGCATGAAATCGCGATCATTAAAAATATGGAACTTTATGGATGCATAGAGCTAGGTTACGAGCTGTGACAGATTTCTTATGCATATATTTTGGCATTAAGACATCGTGTCCGAGCCGAGAAATCGAGGCGACGAAAGCCGAGATGTCATTTGACTTACGATATGCGATCGCACGAAAAGTTGGAAATAATAACTAAGATGTCAGTTTGGCAACTTTTATAGATATATTTTTGATGATTTTTTTTCTTTGTAAATAAAGACGTTTCAGCGCGTGAAACGTCTTTATTTTGCTATTTGACATGTTCGATGAGGACCCGTTGTCGAAGTGTGTCCGAGAATTTTATTTTCAATAACATTGCGGGAAATAGTGTCAAGTGAATACATTTTTAATCTATAGAAAAAAAAAGATAAAATCAAATGGAATACGTATTTCAGACATTGTGAAATGTGATAGATTTAATAAATGAATGATTTGACAAGTAGGTTAATATAATAATAAACTATTTTGACGTGGCTTGGACGGTCTACCGTGCGGTGTGACTTGTGGCTTGAACGGCCAACAGTGTTGAAATAGTTAAACTGGTCACCACTGCGCTTTGCGTTGACAAGCTCTGATGGTATTAGAGAAGGTTCCCAGCAAGAAATATCAGAGTGACTTCCCTTTGCTTTACGCTCGACGAGGAAAAGAAATCTTTTTTTGTTTGAACTTTTTGTCGAAAAGATCGGCGGTAATAAAAAAAAGGGTAATTTTCATTTTCATTTTTTTTTTAACATTTGGACTTTGAAAGAGCGGCGCATCCGTAAACCAAGAAATAAAAAAAATGTCGCCTTAAGTGATATAAATGCCAAGTTTGATGAAGAAATATTTAACGGTTTTCAAATTCTTCTCCGGAAACGATTCAGACGGACACGCCCATAGCTATATCCCCCCCAGCATTATATGCCTGGGGATAATAAGTACTCCTACATCCTTTGATAAATATTTGTGTTTAACTGAGTTTAATATATATATATATATATATATATATATATATCGGCTGTATGGTCACTGTCCAGTAAGTGGGACACAGTAGTGTATATTTTGCACTTTTGATATATAAAACTTAATGTCCGGATTTCTGGATGAAGGAAGCATTGTGTGGCATCAGAGTCAATCCAGTTGTTTGTCTGTGGCCCTTCAGTTCCATGTTGATATCTGACATCAGTCAATCCAGTTGTTTGATCACTTTAGGGTCAGATGAATCTTTGATTAAAACTAGCTGTCTTACAGTGTCTCATTGTCATTCATATGCTCTTGAAATTTTTATGTAGAATTAATGTTTGATAAGCCAAAAAAGTGTAAAGAACTTGAGGTTCTAGTGACCTCATTTCTTAGATCACGAGCAGAAGCTTCTTTTAGCCATTGTTATCAGTACTCAACTCCTGCATTTGTTTATGGTGTGGAAACATTTTTCACCTTAAAGTGTTTTGCAGCCAACTTCTTGGACCAGTAGACCTCAGTAGATTATTCAGAGTGTTTTCTTTCCATGTAAAATAATCGGCCATGCATTGAGACTTTCACAGTACCAATAAAATTCTTAACTTTCTTCATCACAATATAATTCATAACATCCTGTTGAACATCTTTATTCATAATAACCATGATGATATATATATATATATATTTATATATTACATTTGTTAAGACTCATCTTGTCATAGGTGAAGCACATGCGTAGACAAGCCCAACAGGACACTACATGTGCATGACAATTTCCAGATCCAGTCACAAGGACAGCAACGATTTGCCTGCTTTCTGTCCAGGCTATAAAATGATACACAAGTTATCTACATCATTGTTATGTAGTGAGTAATATGGGATACCATGATTAAGTAGGTCAGCTTACTACACTACCTGTGCCAAGACCAGAATCCAACCAATGCAACTTGAGTTGAAAATCCTTTAGTGTTGGAGTGGTGTTGTGGAACAACTTACAAGCCTTGGGCGTCTCCACTGATAGGATAAATGTATTGCCACTTGTGTTAGACTTTGTAAAATCAGTTCTATCATCAACTCATGTGACTACTTGCATACGGATTCCAAAACTCATAAATCTCTGATATTAATTATTTACAGATCCCTGTCTTGCCACTTCAATTGCACACAAGGAGGGAATGTTGAAATATGATGTGTAACAGTTAAAACACTGTTACATCAATTCATTTTGGATGTATTGTCCATCTTTCCACTAACACACTGAATGATAAAACAAGTAGCCAACATAAAAAGGTACCAGACTATCCACATTATATTTTGCTTGTCAGACAATATTTTGAAAATCATATGCTGAAATTCCTTTCAATATGAAAATAAGAGTAAATCCTTCAGCAAAAGTGCAATGTTGCTCCTATTTTCCATGAATACTCATACTTTATTGCATACTACCATGACTACTGGCCTGTACATTTCTAAGTACTTCAACAATTTGTAATAGATTAATGGACTCGGTCAATAATCTCAACAATTGCTCTTGATGAAAACTACCTACATTATACCTATCCCCAAAATGATAAAATGAAATTTAATACCGGGGTATATAACTTACTCATATCAAAGTGATGCCATAATAGTCAACAAGTGATGAAGTAATTGCTTAACGCACCAGTATCCAATCAATGCTACCAATGACTAGCATAAGCTCCTACAGCAATAAAAAAAACAACCATAGATTGTCACAATACAGGATCAAGAATTTAAAATTTCCTGCCAAGATTAAGTTAAAAAAAGGTTAGGTTATCTTATTATCGTAGACTCCATGACAATAACACAATCTTTTCCAAATAAGACCAAGACCAAATATTTATGAGAAAAAATAGCTATTATGTTCAAGCTTGTGAAACTAACAACCGATTTACAAAGCAGTCCTAAGCTACTTCAACTCGTTTACAGATGTGTCAAGTTTTACAACATACACATCACTGGTATTCTGAATTTTGGCAATTCCATAACTGGTTAATAGGGATAGGAGAAAAAACACCTTTTAAAAGTTAAAGATAAGATTTCCTATTCCAGAAATATAACAAAAATTAATTTCCAAACTGAGCGGATAGACTGCGACAAGTCTTGATACAGCGCAACACAAAAAAAACCAGTCTGATTAACAATGTCTGATGCACCATGTGACATTCGTCACACTATTAGTACAAAACGAGATATTGATACATTGAGCTTGAGAGAGAATCTTCATAAACACAAAATAGGGATATTCCATGTGTGTCAATGATGAGGATTGGTACATGTGCAAAAACACAAAACAAAATTAACTGCGTAGATGAAATATTTTTCTATTAGATATTAATGCCAACTACTTGGCCATAGAAAATCTGATCTTGCACCATCCACCCTTGAAAATGTACTCTATTTTGGCCACATGCTTATTATACTGTGTGACATGCTCACAATTGGTGTATGGCTTATATTTCATGGTAGCATCACAATCAGATTACACTTCCTCCTTGATATTGACAATGTCACCTGAGAACAACCTACCATAACACTTCCTTCACACAGACTGAGGTTTGTTTGTTACTTCTAAACAAAAGCCATTATCACTGTTGGGAATCCATATATTTATAGGATGTATACCAAATACTGATCCTCAAGTGTCTGTTGGACCATGGTTGATGGCAGCTCAACCTTCAGTATATCTGGTGGACCTTGGCAATGGTGGCTCGACCTCCAGTACATCTGGTGGACATGGTTGATGGCAGCTCAACCTTCAATGTATCTGGGGGCCGGGGGCAATGGCATCTAGACCTCCAAATGTATCAGGTGGACCAGGGTGACCACTTAACAATGGTAACAACTAAAAAAAACCCTGTTTATAGGTGCACAATTTTGATGTGCTCACAGTTGTGGCTCATGTCATAATAAAAGAAAGGATGTAGGTAGTCCAACTTTGTCACAATAACTACTGTTTATGCACTTACTATAAGATTATGAAATATATATATATATACACACACAATAATATTTTGGCTCATTTCAGGAGTAGGAAGTCTAAATACAAATTAATCCCCAGTTACAGCATAAAACAACATTAAAGGCATATGGTTTTAGTGGCAATACAACTAACTACTAATGTAAATGCTTGATTCATATCTAAAACAATCCAAAAACACTTTTTTCACTGATTTTAGGCAAAATATATCAGCCTATATTTCATTGCTTGCATAACAACACTTAGGACTGCAGAATACTGGATGTCATCTCAAATTGAACCAATTTCTTTTCACCAGGAATGTTGCTTAAGAAAAATATTTTAATGGCATAGAATTAGTGGAATAACTAGCCCATTATCAAGTAATAATTAGACAGACCATTGGACATCTTGTATACATTATATATTACCATACTTTATCACCAAATTAAACTTCCAAGCAATAGCCGCCATATAGCTGGAATATTGCTGATCGCGGCGTTTAACAACAAACAAATAGCTATGATTATATGATCCCAGTATTTTGCATGGCCATCTGCACATTTCCTATATCATATTCCAAATGCATTTTGATTTTGTCACAATAGGCCAGTTTCATTGTGTGTGTGCGTCTACACATAGTTGAGATGATGAGGCCAGTGTTTAGTAGGCAGGTACATAGCAAAGGCCAGTTTAGTTCCACAAAGCTCTAGCCAAGATATTATGCATGCGTCTTACAAAGCACAATTACAATGAGCAATCAAGATCACAGCAACAAATGTGTCCTACCTTCCTTAATACTATCAGCTCAAAGACCACTCTGATGATTAAACAAGTTTACATGGTAAAAAGTAAGTTGTTTTGCAAATTCAGTTTTACAAACTGATCTTCCTTTGATTTAATAATTCTGCATCTGTGACTATAATGCTGAAGATGGCAACTTTCATCCCTACTATCAGTGTGTATTCACAGGATATACTCCAACAAATAACAAATGGAAGCAGCTGCCTCAACTGTCACTGTGGGAACTGTGAAATAGTGTTATATGTCGTGGACTATCACTACAAATTTAGGAGTCACATTTACACTCTTTCTAGAATGCCTCAACCAATCCAAAACTATACATGCTTAGTATTAAACATTTTTCATTTCATTTGAAAAGCAATTGACAAGTCTGGCAAACACTGCTCCTGCTCATAACAGCATATATATACCTCCAAGTAAAGTAAATATCAAACCACAATACAATATCTGAGTAGAAAATTAATAACATAAGCTGTAGCTATCATGGTAGAATCAGCTACTAACAGAACAATATCGATAACATGGCAATATTTTACACCCAGGCTTACTGCTTGCAATGACCAAAATTTCGATTAAGTAAATTTCTGCTCTACTTATCTTTATAAAGAAAGAATACTGCTACAATATATATATACACATATATGTACACCTTAACATAATGGCTTTCTGAAATTATCATGATATAAATGTTCCAAGTGAAGAAATAGTAGGGTTGACTACTGTTCAAGGGGCATATCAAGCATTGTACAGCATTATCAATTTAGTGTCATCCACTAACAGTAAGAAACAGTCATGTTACTGGTTGCATAATATTGACATTGAGACAAAATATTTGTATGTGGTAATGATTCTTACTGGAAAAGAAAAACTACTACCATTTTGCCCAAACATTAAGTTATGAATCAATGTGTGTTCAGCAAGGTTGTATTGAACATAATAAATATGACTAACAGAAACTAATATCAGATAAGTTTTATAACACATTATGAGTCAACCCACATCAGGTGTGCTCTATTCCTCCCACGTTACAAGTGGTAGCATCTATGATAGGAGTGGAAGCGGGTGACTATATATGTCTACAGTACATCCACTGATGTGGAGTTGGAGGTATAAGGTGGCTGTTTGTCTGGAGTAACATACTACACTTCTGAAGGCTGTAAGTATCACAGTCCCATACATGGCCAACAGGCTCACAGCTGGCCTGACCAACTCATAATGGCACAACATAGTTGGCTGGAAACAGACCAATGTCACCATCTTTTCTTCCCCTGCACCATCCCATCTCATCCTCGTCTGTTAACTTGACAAACACATCACCTGTAACACAAGACGTGACCTGTCATCACCTGTAACACAAGATGTGATCTCCCATCACCTGTAACACAAGATGTGATCTGCCATCACCTGTAACACAAGACGTGATCAGCCATCACCTGTAACACAAGACGTGACCTGGCATCACCTGTAACACAAGACATGACCTGTCATCACCTGTAACACAAGACGTGACCTGCCATCACCTGTAACACAAGACGTAACCAATCATCACCTGTAACACAAGACGTAACCAATCATCACCTGTAACACAAGACTTGACCTGTCATCACCTGTAACACAAGACGTATCCAAGCATCACCTGTAACACAAGACGTAACCAATCATCACCTGTAACACAAGATGTGATTAGCCATCACTTGTAACACAAGATGTGATCAGCCATCACCTGTAACACAAGACGTGATCAGCCATCATCTGTAACACAAGATGTGATTAGCCATCACTTGTAACACAAGATGTGATCTGCCATCACCTGTAACACAAGATGTGATCAGCCATCACCTGTAACACAAAGTGTGATTTGCTATCACCTGTAACACAAGATGTGATCAGCCATCATCTGTAACACAAGATGTGATTAGCCATCACTTGTAACACAAGATGTGATCTGCCATCACCTGTAACACAAGATGTGATCAGCCATCACCTGAACACAAGATGTGATCTGCCATCACCTGTAACACAAGATGTGATCTGCCATCACCTGTAACACAAGATGTGATCTGCCATCACCTGTAACACAAGATGTGATCTGCCATCACCTGTAACACAAGATGTGATCTGCCATCACCTGTAACACAAGATGTGATCTGCCATCACCTGAACACAAGTTGTACCACACAATGTATCCTGCCATACAGTAATCTGGTAATGAGCAAAACCATGGTAGCCATTTGTAAAAATGGCAATTTTAAGGACATCATTGTTAGGATGAACCATGTAATGGTTCAGCTTCATGGTCTTATTGGCTTCAGAGGAGATGTTGAATATCTAGTAGTCCAGAAGGACAGACAGCTGCAGGAACACAAGGAACTTTCATTGTCCATGACATCTGTGCAGTCTTGAAAAAAACATGAATGTCTGATGGTATGTTTTCGCCATAAATATGTTTTTGTTTCTTGAGTATGATATAGCCAAATACTAATTTAGTCATTTTTACCTAATTCAACCCCAACACAATAATTGGAGTGACTATTTACAGTACAACAATATAACCTCCAAACTATGACAAAACCATCTGTTGTGGACAAAATACCGAAAAGTGAGACCATGTAAACACGATGTTACAGATCCTCGTGAAAACATCCTCAGTAACAAATTCACTGGTGAATATTGGGTGCAGAATAATATTATATGAAGTGTATAGAAATTATTTTACGGGCATGTGTCATACTGACTTTACAAAACAAGTGTCAAAATTCTTGTCTTTGCAGAGCGAAAGCTTCGTAAAATCAGTCTGACACACATGCGAGTTTTAATAAAAAAAATAATTTACCCGTTGTTTCCTAATCCTTTTGAGCTCCTCTTTAGAAAAATGATCTGATTATAACAATCTAAAGCCATGACGTTGTTTATAGTATGACATCATTCCAACTTTACGCCACAGTAAGATTCGAATGATGTCAACAATGCTGTCCGGATGAACAATACACTGATGCGAGTCATGTAATATTTTCACTAGTTATTTCTAACATTATGGGTCATACATATATATATATATCAGTACAAGATCATCAGCATTTGTGGGGTTTCTGGACAGACATGGTTTCACTGGACTACACGGGAGTGAATACATACCGGTTTTGAAACTAAATTCATCATCTTCAGTCTTGACATAATCATATATGGCTTTGACAGCAACACCGCGGTCTGTAGCAGGATCATCTTCAACTGACTGATCATCATCAGATTGAGCCTCTCCAAATGGGTTGGAAGCCCCACCATTGTAGTCCTCACTGACGGCCTGCATGCTGCAAACACATATCATACATGCAGGAGCTTAGCATGGCAATACGGGCACTTACATTGTGTACCAAGGCACAAAGCTTCAACACACTCAAACAATGCGCAAGATAAAATATTTTCATAACTTAAAGCAACTTAACGTAACTAAACGTGTGTACAAACAATCTTGTGCATTGAGTTGAGATAGGACAGGGAATTTCTCTACCGTCACTGTCCCTTGGCAAATGCGTAACCTTTCAACACTCATAAAAGGATTTCAGTTGTTCCCATGTTATTCGGTATCACACATAAATTGAAGCCTTTAGTAGTCCACCCGCTGCACAGTGTGTGAATGGTGTTTTATGTCACAGACAGCAATATTTAAAACCTATGTAGCATTTTTCACCAATATGGAACAGATTTATGGAGGTCTTCTTTCCTACCTGCAGACTAGAAAAACATATTTGTAAAACATGTAACAAAATTAAGAAAGAGGCCTTAGCAAGCTTCACAGCAATTTTCCTTATAACATGTATAAGAATGAATATATTGATGATTGTCATAGAATATTCTTTGTGCTAATGTGACTTACCCATGGAAGAAACTATAAGATGCTTAAATACCAGGGGAAAAAATTCCTGTGCACCATGAAAAAAAAAATCACATTAAAACAATGCATGATAATCACATGATTCTGATTAGTGCAAGAACTGTGAGGAATCGATTACAGCCATGACGTCCCACTGTATGTCCAATTTTATGCCAAGTCATGGAACAGCATGGTCAAGACAACATCTGAGGTTCAGACTATAGGACTAAAGGTTAGTCCTCTTCACAGATGAGTCAATGTATCATCTTGACAGCAGTGATGGCCATTGGCATGTTTATCAACGTCAGCTGAAACGTTTCGTTGGCGGGTGTGTTGTGCATTGTTCTGCTTTTGGTTGTTGGAGCGTATTGGTGTGTGGAATCATCACAAGATCCTTCTCGTGCACATCGATGGCAATTTGACAGGTGTACAGTACCATGACAAAGTTATCCATCCTCCTGTTCCTTCAATGGGTGAGTGAGTGAATGTGGTTTTATGCCGCTAAAGCAATATCACGGCAGGGGACACCAGAAATGGGCTTCACACATTGTACCCATGTCGGGAATCGAAGCTGGGAATCGAATGCTTCAACCACTAGGCTACCCGACCAATGGAGGTCACATCACCTTATAGCAGGACACAATGCACGCCATGTGTGGTCACAGCCTTTATGGACAACAGAACATCCCTACACTCCCTTGGCCTGCTGTTTCTCCAGATGTGTCACCCATGGAACATGTGTGGGATGAAATGAAATATTGTTTTACACAGACTTCCAAACCATTTGGTGACAAAGGGCCAGCTGCAACAGGTCCAGATCTGTACTGACACCCCACACATCTTCTTCAAAGATCTTGTGTTGTCAATGAGGCGCCATTGTGAAGCTTACCGGTATATCGCTGATGGCGGTCATACCCCATACTGACATGTGAACTGATAATTGACAGAGGATATGTGTTGACACTGTCATGATGAATTCATGTTTCATAGACATCAATATATTGTTATGTAGCAAAATCATTCTTAGTTTGTGTATACTTATTATTTCCCATGCTAGTCAGTGATGCACACAAACATCTTTCTGCTAGCATATATTGTAAAAAAAACCCACTAAACCATACTAGAAAGACCAAAAAAATTGCATTTAACTGTTGTAAAAGATCTTTGACATACATGCTTTTAGTCCCAAGAATTCATTACATTTTAGATACAATACCTCAATCTGTCTATAAAAGTTCATGTAACATTTCTCACTTAATATCAATCTGGTAAGGAGTCCAGCGCTCATGCGGCTTTGGCTGTCCAGTGACTAAACAGTTAAGTTGAAGTTGGCTCATAATCATCCTTATTAACCTGTATCTGTGATCTCTTTTCTATTATGATACATACACTGGACCCATTTGCCACCAAATTTAGTTTGAGCTGGTCCAAATGTCAAGAAAAAAAACAAAAAAACATGCTATTAAATGTTCCATATATCACAGAAGAAAATCCCCATCAGCCAAATACTTCTTCTGTTTTCACTCTGCAGTCAGTTTGAACTTCTTGCATGTAAGAAATATCATAATACAAACTGACTTTTGAAAAAGACAAGGTTAGAAACTAATTCTTATTTTCAGTTGTCTTAAATATCAGCTACTCAGTAGCCATCAACTAAAGGTAAAACAGTAGTCCATAAGGAATTGTCACTTGTCCTTCCAGTGTTTTACTACTCTTGGACAAGTGGACTTATGTAAATTTTGAACACTGTTACAGTTGAAACCCAAACATCATTGAAGCAATAACATTAGAGACGTAGCTTGCTAATAATCTCTAGGTCACTGGTTCATCAGAACCAGTTTTCTTTTTTCATAGGCCCAAAATGAGTAACGTGATAAATCGCTTATGTCCATACCCCACCAACACTGTGACAAGTCTCTTTACCTAAGTAGACAAAAAGCGTCACAATGGCCAAATGTTGTGCATGCCATCATATCAGGATTAGTTTGGTTCAGTTAATCTGGCACAAAACAAAGAAAAGTGAAAAACATGCTTTTCACATAGCCTGCCACACAAAGGTATGGCAAATGATGCTAGTTAGTTGTATGTCATGTCATTTCAACTGCATGCTTTGTGGCAATTTTAAAACCTGCCATGCCATTACAAACCAGCTTGGGGGGAAAAGCCAAACAAAAAAAAGCCATAAGGATCTCAAGCTCACCATTAAAACTTCTTTTAAAAATTAATGTTTACACTGCCAGGATCATGCAAGTAAATTTCACTTAATAGTTTCACATTTCAAAGATATTGTTCAGTTATCAGTAGGTTGTCCAGTGGTGAATGTGGTAAACAGCATATGTTAATTCTAAATTACCTTGAACATTTCATAATTTGACCTCTAGTGACCTTGACCATATACAGAGGGACACGCCTCTAGGCTAGTTGGAGACCGATCGCTGTTGCACTCAATGCATCAATTACACTCATTGGTGCAGCCAGTCCCTCGATATATGGTCTCTGGCTGGTCAAGTTGACCTTACAAAGTGGTCACTCAAAAGGTTAACATATCTGGACCAAACTTTACGCAGTCATTAACTGGTCCCTTTTGGTTTTTTGTAAGAATGTATGATGTTTTTATTATTTCCAAGTGTTGTTTAGCATTGCTTAGGAATTTTGGAAAATGTTATTTTTTCCTGTTTCCAAGAAGACCTGAAGTTATTAAGTAAGATCAGAGATAAAAATGTCTGAACGCTAAGGGAGTAAAACCTCTTATGAATTTTGGTTCAGTGCTTTTTTTCTGTACAGCCAAACCATCCCAATGGACCTCCATATATGTCAAAGATAATCGAATATTAAGAAGTGTTGCTTGGGAGGCATATGTTACTGCTTGAAGCAATATTTAGGGCTCAAAGCCAAAATGGCTAAGAGCCCTATTGTTATAGTTTGATTCAGTATTACACAATGTGACGCCAGTCATTATTTTATGTTTGACTTCTGAGATATTGGATTTAAGCTTTTCCAAATTCATTTTGTGCTCTTTTAGGGCACACCTACAAATGATCTCTATACATCTTACATCAATATTACCTTTAATTATATTAGAAAATGTCAATTTGAGACTTATTTTGGATTCAAGTTCTGATTTCTTTCATTAGGTTGCTATGGAAACCAAACTTGACCTCAGAAGAATTGATAGATACTATAAACCAGATAATTCTTTGTACATGATAATTTGTACATCAAATAGTTTAAAAGAAAATGGCAAAACAAGTTACAGCTTACAAATACCTGTATGGATGACACACAAACCTTTCAGAAAATGTGACACACAAGTCACATACTCCAAATTTGGTTGAAGCCAAAATACCAATTGATGTGACTGTATTGGCAAAAATAAGAGAACTACAATACAGCAGAGAGGTGACTGTTTATTCTGACAGATTACTTTTAAAGGTTAAGACAACTCAACCTCTGTGCTATGTTTCTGGTATGTGTTCTAGAGTCAAAAATGGTGTGTCTAGGTCTTACACAGGCTGTTTTATGCCACCATTAACTTAGAAACCAGTGACCCGATTTTGTCCAAATTGTCCAACTATGATCTGATACTGATTAATATCTCTCTCACAATTGCACATGGAACTTAAAATTATGTTTACAGTAATGGACTTTCAAAAATACAATAAGAAATAGAAAGGTTTTCAGTGAATGCAATGTAAATAGTGGTGATATTTTCAATACTTTATTCACACTACTTTTTTTGTGTTGAAAGAAGAATCAATAATATGTGTCAAAAAGCACTATTCACTGCCTCTAAAGTCAACAGAGGATCAGGGACAGAAAAAATTAAGTGTCAATAAAATAAATGACATATCCCCATTAACTGCCTTTACATCGACAGAGGATCATGTGACAAAACACATAACAACCCTGGTAGTATATTATTGGAAAGTCCTTTACTGTAACCATACGCTTTCTGTTGCGAAAGAGAGTGACAATCAAAGCCATAACCAGAATCACCATTGACTTCATTACTTACTTATTGAATATAAATCTGACTGACTGTGCTTCATGTATGGGTTTTTTGGTTCATGCTTTCCAAAACAGGAAGTGATATACTTAAAGCAAGAAGCATATATAAAATATAATAATAAATAAACAAATGTTCTCCTTGTCATTTAGTTCTGCTATCTCTCTGGTCTCAAAAGCATGATGAGACCATCACCACCACAGAGGCTGACAAGGCTGCTGTCATGGATACAGAAGAATTTATGCAGCTGGTTAACAAGTCCTTAGAAGACCCCACCACTTACACAATCCCCCCCCCCCCAAAAAAAAAGACCCAACAGCCAAATTAGAAAGACAACCTCAACATTCAACACCCAAGAATCACGTTCACCATGGACACCAAAAGCACCCTTGCTCATTTTGCAACTCGACCAGTACATTCATGACATGTCC